ATTACAGTTATTAGGTAGCAATGAAATAATGTTATGGTTGGGCATCACCACAACACAAGGAACCGTAGTAAAAGGTTGCAGCATTAAGGTTAAGAACCACTACTCTAGGGGGCTTGGGATGTAGCTTAGTGGTAAAGTACTAGCCTTATGTGTCCAAAGCCCTAGATGTGATTCCCAGGACTGGGGAGTAGGAAGCCTCAGCTCTCCTCTTCAGCCAAATGCAGATGCAATAAAAAGACAGCTCTCCTCTCTGTCTCTCTCTCTCTGTCTCTCTCTCTGTCTCTCTCTCTCTCTCTCTCTCCCTGTCTCCCTCCCTCCCTCTCTTTCTCCCTCTCCTTTTTTCTTATTGTTTTCCCCCTCTTCTTGGTACTACTGGAGTTGAATTAAAGGCCTCACACATGCTAAACGCATACTCTGCATGGAGCTACACCCCAAACCTAAGACGACCGTCTATAAACCGGGAAGCATATCCTTACTGGCACCTTCTGCCAGTGCCCAGGAGAAAAACATTTCTGTTGTTTATAAACCACAGTCTCATTGTTTTATTATGGAAACCTTCACGGACAAAGATAGTCTCTATACATTTTTAAAAATCCCAGCATGGAATGATGAATTCTTGTTATTTTTTGTGAAACATGGTCTCATTTTCAGCTTGGCTGGCCTTGAACTCAGAGATCTGCCTGTCTCTATCATCTGAGTGTTGGGATTAAAGATGTGTACCACCAGGCCCTGATTAGGATTCTTCTTCTTCCTCCTCCTCCTTTGTTTTGTTGAGACGGGGTTTCTGTGTGTAGCTGCCATAGTTTGAATCTAATTGGCCACAAAGGAGTGGCACTATTAAAAGGTGTGGCTTTTGGCGGAGCAGTGGTGGTGCACGCCTTTAATCCCAGCATACTCAGAAGGTAGAGGCAGGAGGATATTTGTGAGTTTGAGACCAGCCTGGTCTACAAGAGTGAGTTCCAGGACAGCCTTTAAAGCCACAGAGAAACCTTGTCTCGAAAAACCAAAAAAAAAAAAAAAAAAAAAAAAAAAAAAAGTGTGCTTTGTTGGAGTGAGTATAGCCTGGTTAGAGGAAGTGTGTCACTGTTGTGGGTTTTGAGGTTTCCTGAGCTCAGGATATCACCCAGTGTGTCAGTTGACTTCCTGTTGCCAGGAAGATGTAGGACTCTCAGCACCGTGTCTGCTTGCCCACTGCCATGTTTCCCTTCGTGATAATAATGGATTGAACCTCAGTTAAATGTAAACTGCCACCTCAGTTAAGTGTTTTCCTTTATAAGAGCCATGCTGTGGTCATGGTTTCTCTTTGCAGCAATAAAAGCCCTAACTAAGACAGAAGTTGGTACCAGGGGCTGGGGTATTGCTGTGATAGGCCTGGCCATGTGTTTGTTTGGAAGAATTAGGACTTTGGGTTTGGAAAGCAGTGGAATGCTTTAAGCACCGTTTAATGGGTCATACTAACTAGTAGGAACATGGAAGGCAGAGGTGCTTAGGGTTATTTGAACTATTGGGGGGCTCACACAAGAGGTTTCAGAGAAGAATTTTATTATGTTGCCTAGGGAGATCTTTCTTGTGATATCTTCATGAGTAAAGTGGCTGCTTTTTTCTCTTGTCTGAAGACTCTGCTGTAGGAATTTTTCTTTGGGCTGCCAGCTCACAAATGGCATGGGGAATTCATTAATTATGAAAGCTTAGCCTTTATCTTAGGCTTCTTCCTCTCTTATAAATTAAATTAACCCATTTATATTAATCTGCATTCTATCACACATAGTATGCAGACTAATATAAATGCACCCCCTGTTCCCTCTCCATGTCTCTTGGTGTCTCCCACTTGTCTACATTCCTCCTCCTCCTCTTCCTTTCTCTCCCTGGAAATCTGGCCTATACTTCCTGCCCAGCGACTGGCTCAGGGCTTTATTAAACCAATCATAAGGTGCCTTGGCAAAAACACATCTTCACAGTGTACAAATATCCTGCAACAGTCTGCCTGAGGCTAAAGTGAAGAATTTTGAGTTAATTCCATTGGCAGAGGAAATCTCAAAACAGCCTAGTAGGGGCTGGGCATTGGTGGCGCATGCCTTTAATGCCAGCACTCGGGAGGCAGAGGCAGGCGGATCTCTGTGAGTTTGAGGCCAGCCTGGTCTACAGAACAAGTTCCAGGACAGCCTCCAAAACAATACAGAGAAACCCTGTCTCCAAAAACAAAAAAAAAACAGCCTAGTAGACTCTGTCATGTAACTCTAATGAAGATTTATAGTGAAAAGGAGCAAGCTGAGCAGAGTAAACTACAAAAATGTAAATTTTGAGGGGATAAAGAGCATCAGAAAGTGGAATAGAGCTAAACTCTGTGTTCAAGAAGATAAATGGGCTAAAGGGAGTGGTGACTCCAGGATAAGATCCCACCCAGATAAGTTTCCAACTTGTGAAAAGGAACTAAAGAAAGTTTAGAGCTAGATATGATGGCCCACACCTTTTTTTTTTTTTTTTTTTTTTTTTTTGGTTTTTTCAAGACAAGGTTTCTCTGTGGCTTTGGAGGCTGTCCTGGAACTCACTCTGTAGACCAGCCTGGTCTCGAACTCACAGAGATCCACCTGCTTCTGCCTCCTGAGTGCTGGGATTAAAGGCGTGGGCCATCACCACCCTGTTGCCCTGCTGGCTTTTGGTCTTGCTTTGGTCTAGTATTTTACTATGCTCCCTTCCCTATGTTTTGGAATGGTAACATATATCCTTTGGCACAATATTTTGGAAGTATGTGATCTGTCTTTATTTTAATTTTATATGTGATAACAGTTAAGAGATTACATGAATCTCAGAAGAAACTTTGAACTTTTAAACATCGATGAGTCTGTGATAGACTATAGGGACCTTTGAAGTTGTACTAAGTGAATTCTGCATTATGATATTGCTACAAGTTTATGGGGGCCAGGGACTAAACTGTGATAGTTTGAATGTAATTGGCCGCCATAATCTCATAGATAGTGGTACTATCAGGAGATGTAATTTTGTTGGCTTTCCTGTTACCTTCAAGATGTAGAACTCTCAGTATTCCTCCAGCATGCCACCATGCTCCCCTTTATGATAATGGATTGAACCTCTGAAACTGTAAGCCACCACTGCAGTTAAATGTTTTCTTTTGTAAGAGTTACCATGGTTGTGATGTGTCTTCTCAGCAATAAAAATCCTAACAAGACAGTAGTCCTGAAACTCACTCTCTAGACCAGGCTGGCCTTGAACTTAGAGATCTGTCTGCATCTGTCTCTACCCCCCACATGCTGGGACTAAAGATGTGTGCCACCATAGCCCTGCGTTTTGGACTTTTCTAAGACTTTTAATTATATGCGTATGTGTGTCTGGCAGAAGGGCAGGGCTATGTGTGCCTGCAGAGTCCAGAAGATGGTGTTAGCTTTCCTGAAGCTGCAGATACAGGGTGAATTATCAGTATAACAGAGCATGAATATATAGGTTTAGAAGCATCAGAGGAAATAAACAAATGTACCACTGTGAGCCACAGGATATAGGTACTGGGAACCAAGCTTAGGTTCTGCAGGAACAGAAGGAATTGCTAACTGTTGAGCCACTTTTCTAGTCCCTCATGGATTCTTTTCAATTGAGTGTACTGTTATATTATAAACGGCTGTAGTATGCACAATAAACATAACCATTTAAAATGTTTGTTTCATACATCCCCTAATTTGAACAGAAGAATCTTTCCTTAGTGGCTCAGGTGTCTCTTTCTTGGTATGAACAATTTAGAAGCACTTTATCCAAAAGGAAACATGCTAGAATTGCTCTCTGCTTTCTTTGATCTGGCTATGCTAACAGCCATTTCTCAGTAAAATGTTGTAGTGGAAAACCGTTTTCACCAAGATCTGAGCATTAACTATGTTCATTATCAGTAAAGCAAATATAGTATGGGTATGTAGGTTTAGATATATTGGAGAAAACAAACTCTAATTCCAATCCAGTGCTACACCACACAGTCTTTTTGGATTTTGCTTTGTGAGGTGGTCAGCCCAAGTATCTTTTAGAAACCGATACTCATGATGAACTTGAAATAATATTTAAGAGTCAGCTATGCAAAAATCTAGAAACAGATGTTTTTAGTCAGAAGGAAGTACAAGCACAAAGCCCGGGGCAGAAACAAACAGTGTTCTAGAGGCAGACTAGCCAATGTGGCTGCACTGTGCTGACCTGCCGAAGACAACTGTGTGAAATGACGTCAACCCATCAGGAAGGAGATGTATTTGAAACTGCATATGCTATAACAAAGACGCTTAGAAGAATTCTAGTAAATTATGAAAATGCTGAAATTTCTTAAGAAGAGGCTGTGGTAACTTTTTTTTTGTCTCAAAAGATGACTTTGGTTATTGCATAAAGAGTGGACTGTTAAAGAAGAAGCAGAGAGATGGTAATGAGGCCTGTAGTAATCTTGGCAGGGTGTATGACACAGATGAGGGTAGCAGCAGATAACACAGAAAGAAAAGAATAAATCAGTGTACCTGAAGGTAGAGATGTACCAAGTCTGAAGCCTTAAGCGAATTCTGGATGTGTATGTCTATTGCGTGCTGTCATGTGTTAAGTTCTGAAGTCAAAACATTAAGCAAAGATGTAAATGGAGCCGGTCGTTGGTGGCGCACGCCTTTAATCCCAGCACTCAGGAGGCAGAGGCAGGTGGATCTCTGTGAGTTCGAGGCCAGCCTGGTCTACAGATCGAGTTCCAGGACAACCTCCAAAACAATACAGAGAAACCCTGTCTCGAAAAAAAACCAACCAAACAAAAAAGATGTAAATGGGCTGGAGAGAGATGCTCAGCGGTTAAGAGTTAAGAGCACTGGCTGCTCTTCCAGAGGACCCAGTTTGACTCCCAGCACCTACATGGCAGATCACAACTGTCTGTACCTCCATTTCTGGGGGGACCTGACACCCTCACAAAGACACACATGCAGGTAAAACACAAATACAAATAAAACATAAATAAGTAAATAACTAAAAATGAAAACCGGTAAGGAATAGAACCACTTTATGATAAAGAACAAGAAAAGCAAGGTTAGTAGGGACACGATGGGAGACTTGGGAGTTCATAATTCAGCTTTAACGTCGCCTGATTTCACTGTACACCAGGTTTCAAAAGAAAATAGTCATTCAATATCATCTTGAAGGTTGTGTATGCCAGCCTCTGTGTTTCTTTGTGAAAATATTTCCTTAATGCTGCCATTGTTTTCATCACCACCAAAATTCATTGTGTTTCCAGGCCATTCTTCTAATGAAATGGTTGACAGGTATGCAAACACCTTTTCTGCTAGAGATTCCCCAAGTAAAGGCTCTGGGGCATTCTTGGTTTCTAGAGAATCGTCAGAAAACCAGTCATCAGCTGCTTCCACGCTTTGGCTGCAATAAGAACTAGAGACTGACGTTGACAAGCTCAGTGTCACACTGCTGCCATTTGCTACTGAGGTCATCTCAGGGGACTCATGGCCAAGAGGATCCCGAAGGCAGAATTCACCTTTAGAGTTGATTGCTGTTAAAAGAAAAGTCTACTGTGAATATTACATATTGACAAGTCAAGTCTTTTGGTTTTTTGAGACAGGGTTTCTCTGTGTAACCCTGGCTGTTCCAGAACTAGCTCTGTAGACCAGACTGGTCTTGAACTTAGAGACCGCCTTTGCCTCTTGGGATATGGGATTAAAGTAAATAGTTAATTTACTCATTTATTTATTTTGGTTTGTCAAGACAGGGTTTCACTGTGTAGCTCTGGCTATTCTGGAACTAGCTCTGTAGACCAGACTGGCCTTGAACTCAGATACTGCCTCCACCTTTTGGGATCTGGGATTAAAGGTGTAGACCACCAGGCCCAGCTTTTATAGATTTACTATGTATTTATATTTATCTGTTTATCTATTTACTTATTTATTTTGGTTTGTCAAGACAGGGTTTCACTGTGTAGCTCTGGCTATCCTGGAACTAGCTCTGTAGAACAGGCTAGCCTTAAACTTAGAGATCCGCCTGCCTCTGCCTCTACTTCCCTGAGGGCTGGGGTTATAGGTATGCGCCAGCATGACCAACAGATAGATCAAGTCTTAAGAGTATTTTTAGGGCTATCATGAGTAAAATAATGCTAGAAGGGAAAACACCAAGTTGCTATCATGTGTACAATACTGAGTATATATTTAAATATTCTAACCCAGGAAAATATTCTAATTAGGTTGAAAACCTCAGTTCTACAATGTGCCTTTAAAAAGTTTCTTGTAGCCAGGAGGTGGTGGTACACATTTTTAATCCCAGCACTTGGGAGGCAGAGGCAGGTTGATCTTTGAGTCTGAGGCCAGCCTGGTCTACAGAACCAGTTCCAGAACAGCCAGAGCTGTTACACAGAGAAACACTGTCACAAAAAGCCAAAAAAAAAAAAAAACAAACAAACCCAAAAAACCAAAAAAAAACCCCACCCCAAACAGACAAACAAACACCCCCCAACCCCCCTTGCAAAAAATTCTTGTACCACTATAGAAAATCAGAACCAATCAAAACTGAGAGTTGTGGAGCACAGTCCCAATGGATATGTCTCTAAAACATTCCAAGACCTAAGACTCAGGGAACACTGTGGAAAGGGGAGTGGAAAGAGTGAAAAAAAAAACTGATCAGGGAGTTTGCTGTGAGATTGTGTCTGAAGCTACACCAGTAAAGTCTCACCAACATGACTGCCCAACCATGAGCTGAACATGGATGACGTCACAGGACACGCCAAAGTGGACAGAGGAAAGTCCCACAAGGCCTCAACCCTGCACAAAGAACGATAAAAAACCAAGGGAAGCTGGGAGTGGTGGAAGTGGTCTTCCCAACAACACCAATTGGTTGTCCAGTGTCAAATGGTCAGCCTTGGAAGCACATACAAGTGACGTTATAGGGACTGAACAGGTTGTATTTAGAAATATATTATGTATATACATGTACGTATATGCAGACAATAACAATTAATGAAAAAAGAGGTTGTGAATTTGAAGGAAATTGGACAGTGGAAAGGGAAGGGAGAAATGTAACTATGATAATTTTTCAAAAGGTGTCTTGGGCCTGGAGAAATTGCTCAGTGGCTAAGAGCACACATTGTTCTTGTGGAGGACCTAAGGGTTTGGTTTTTTGTTGTTTACAGCACTCATGTCATGTGGCTTACATGCACCTCCAGCTCCAGGGGATCTGGACTCCTTAGTCAACTGAGTTCACACCACCCTTCCTATTAAAATTGTTTTTTTTTTTTTTTGAGACAGGGTCTCTCTATGTAGTTTTGGGTGGCCCTGACTGGCCATTAACTATGTTGACCATGCTGACCTCTAACTCAGAGAGATCATTTTGTCTCTTCCTCCCAAGGTGTTAGGATTAAAGGCATGCACCACCATGCCTGGCTTTAATTTTTTATTCATTCTTTGTTGAGTTCACATTATACTTTCCGATCCCACTTACCACCTGTGTTCTTGCATCTGCCCTCTGCCCTTGCAACCTCCCCCTAAAGCAAAAGCAAATTTAAAAGAAAGCCAAACAAAACAAACAAAAACAAAAAGAAAGAAGAATCTTCTCATCATGGAAGCTGTAGTGTGGCCCAGTGAGTTTCCCCTTTGGTCTATTCATCTTTACTTGCAAGTATTCACTCCAACAGTCATTGGTCTGGCTCTAGGCCTCTGGCTCATGCTACACCACCTAAATGGTCTCTCACTGGGGCCCCTCTTTGATATCCTGTTGTCCTATGTCATGGAAATCCTGCTGTTTTGTATCTGTAGGTTTGTTCCCTTCACATGCTCTAACAGTTCATAGATTTGGTGGATGTTGGGGTGGGCCAACTCATAGCCCTGGTTCTGGGCCTGGGTGGTAGTTGGGTTGATCAGCTCGCTAGCTTTCCCTCATCATCACTACCCAGACAAACTCTCCAGCACTGCCTGGGCTAGCTCACCCAATGCAGCTTACAGTAAGGAGCAGGGCCAGATCTGTTCTTGAGCCTTCAGATCTAGTTTTTTCCTACACTTGTCTCCAGGCCCAGTTGGGCCTTGTCTTCCAACTGCTGTAGGGGGAATGCGGTTTGGGTCAGCTCTCCTGCTATCATGCCTTCAGGGTTGGCTTACCTGCATCCCAGACTACAGGGTCAGCTCTAGTGTGAGGGGTGGGGTGAGCTCTCCCCTGAGGGCTAGGGCCAGCTCCCCTGCTGCATGCAGGACCAGATATTCCAGGGCAGGACAGGCTCAGCACAGCATGGTTCCAATGGCCTTGTGCTAATACCTGTCATGAACTTCACCACAGACACCAGCTGCAGCAGGACCATGTACACAGACATGGTCCCAGGCAGCAGTTTGAGCCCAGATGCCATCGTCGCCTGGTGTCAGCACGGCTGCAGAAAGCAGCATGGTACCCAGGCATCAGCATGACTGGCCAAACCCCAAGCATCTGCAGAACCCTTGTATCAACTGGAGCCTTGGGTACCAGGGCCACAGATGTAGGCAACAGCCAGTGCCTGAACATCTCTATGGCTTCAGGCAGCAGCACCAACAAAACTTCTTTTGAAGTTAAAAAAAGTTTCTTAATGATTTGTAGTTGAATATTACATTATTTAAAAAAAAACATCAATGAGCAGAATCATAAAAAGAATCATTTGGTCCACAGTTAGTGGTAAGAGCCCATGATGGGGTGGTCTTTTGCCAATAGTGGTAGGGGACATTTCTTTTTTAAAAAAACTTTATTTATCTATTTATTTATTTTGAGACAGAGTCTCTCTGGAACTCACTATGTAGACCAGCCTGGCCTTGAACTCACAGAGATCCTCCTGCCTCTGCCTCCTGAATCCTGGGGTTAAAGGAGTGTAAACCACAACCAGCTTTAGAATTAAAGAAAAAAATTATTATGTTTTATGTGTGTGAGTGCCTGGTGACCTTGGAGGTTGGAAGAGGGCAGATCTCCTGGGACTGGAGTTATGGAAGGTTGTGAGCTGCCATGTAGGTCTTGAGAACCAAAGATGTGTCCCCTGAAAGAGCAGCCAGTGCTCTTAACCTTTGAGCCATCTCTCCAGCCTCAGCAGACTTTTCTATAGAGCTGCATGGTCTACAAAGCTTTTGACCATGCTTCCAGATCTCATTTGCTGTATCAACAATTCTTCAGGGTAGTTATGGTTGGTGCCGCTTCACAAAGGAGCAAAACCACCCACCATCAATTAGACACAAGATGGATTCAACCTAGCTATTAAGTCTCATGCTTTTCATGTCACTTAGACCACACAGTGGACACTTTAAAATATCGTTTGCTGCTGGGTGTGTTGGTGCAATCCCTGCCCTTGAAAGGCCAAGGAAGAATAGAGTTTGAGGCCATCACTCCAAGCCAGCTAGGGCTAAGCAGTGAGATTCTGTGCCAAAACAAAACAAACGAACAAACCCCAAAATGAAAAACAACATAAAAAATAAGTAACCCCCAAACCCAAAAGTTAAGTTTTAGAAAATATCACAAAATTCCTAAAATACATTTTATACCACTTTACATGTTAGCTGTTATATTTTACACATGAAATTCAAAATTGTTTAAAATACTGTATTTCATATTCATTTCTAGAATTATGTAGGACAAGTTTTGAGATATAAAGATATGACATAAATATCTAAATGACTACAAAATATTCAAGGTTTTGTCTTTGTCCTATATCCTGACACGGCATTACTTCATGGTCACCATTATGATGTCTTTGAATTTAAATAAGAAAAAATAATTTCACATTTTAAGACAGGATACTACTTTTTTCTTCAAAAAGATATGCCAATTCACATGCTACTAAATTGCTATTTCTTTTGAATTTTCATGGAATATAAAATAAATGGCATTTAGGATAGCCTCTTTATTCTTTAAGACTTAAGAAAATATTTGCTATACAGAAACTTCTAACGATTCATTGAAAGAGAACAAGTACCTCTTATTTGTGCTGCTTCCCTTTCTTTTTGCTCCACCTACATAAAAAAGTTATTTGCATTTTTAAAAAGGAAATTTGTATCACTTTTATGATATATTTATATTAACAAGAAATGTAATATCACAATTTTTTAATAAAAACATTTTTCTATGTTATTTTTTTGCAAAATAAAAAAGAAGAAAAACCAGTTATTTGCAAGTCTGGGGACTGGAGAGATGGCTTGGCGGTTAACAGTACATACTGTTCAGTATTCCTTTTCCATGCCTGTGACATCTGATCCACTCTGAGAGACTGCATCGTCCACTCACGGGGGTAAAGCTCCTGGGAGCTCCACCTCCTAAGGCTTCTGTCACCTCAGTGCTGCCCCCAAGGGCCAGTCTTCCAGTCCATGAGCCTTCGGGAGACAAGCCACACCTAAATGTTGGCAGCAACTGAACTGCATCTCAATAAAGCTGTTACGTGCAAAACAAAAGTGTTCTGAAAATAAAACTTTCTCTCTCTCTCTCTTTTTTTTTTCAAGACAGGATTTCTCTGTATTGTTTTGGAGGCTGTCCTGGAATTCGCTCTGTAGACCAGGCTGGCCTCAAACTCATAGAGATCTGCCTGCCTCTGCCTCCCGAGTGCTGGGATTAAAGGCAAGCGCCACCAACGCCCGGCCTGAAAATAAAACTTTCAAAGAGAAAGTAGATACAATCCTTGAGATCTATTGTTAGGTTGGATTTTTGGAATATTTATCAACAGTATGACCCAAGAAATAAAACCAGAAATTTTACTTAGCCAATATTGAAAACTTTTACGAAATTCTGTTACTAGAGTGATAAACTAACCAACTGAGGTTTAAATATTGAAAAGCAGACCAGGTGTGGTACACACCTTTGTTTCCATCACCTGGAGGAAGAGGTAGGTGAGTATCTGTATATAGGCCAGCCTGGTCTATATAGTGAATTTCCAGACAACCAGGGCAACATAGAAAGACCCTGTCTCAAAAAAACAACAATGAAAATGGAAAAGCATATAACCAACAAAGGACTTGCATCCACAATATGTGAAGAATTCTTAATTTCAATGTTAAGAAAATAATCCAATTAGACAATATACGAGATACTTAAAGAGATATTTCACTAAGAGTATAGTCGGTAAATAAAAATATGAAAAGATATGTAAAAACCACTTACTGGGAAATAAAAATTGGAACATAATATATTGTCTTACACAGAGAAGGACATGAATGTTGCCTTGGCGGGGACAACTTCTGAATGACTGGGATGGTGGCTGCCTGAAGGTTGGGGTGTCTGGGGCTGCTGAAGCCTGTGTGTGTGTGTGTGTGTGTGTGTGTGTGTGTGTGTGTGTGTGTGCACGTGCGTGTGCGCAGATTCGTGCTTGCTTTCATGCAACTGTACACTTGTCAAGGTCAGAGGACACCTTTTGGGACTTGATTCTCTCCTTTCACTGTGTGTATCCTGAGGATAGAACTGAGGTCATCAGTCTAGGTTGCAAGCACCTTTGCCTACTGAGCCGTCTTACTGGCCCAAAATTTTGTAGAATAAGACAATGAAGGGGCTGGGGTGGAGCTGGGTAGAACGCTTACCTAGCATGCACAAGGTCCTAGCACTGCAGGCCAGTGCTGAACAGTGCCGTGCACCCTCCGCCCCCCACGACGGAGTTGGTCACCCTAGATAACTCATCTTTTCATTACATCTTTCTCTGTCGCACGGAAGATTTTTACCTTGTTGCTACTCTGTCATCCAAGTTTACCTAATATTTTGACCTCTTTGTTGTGGTTTCAACAATATTCATAGCATCTAAATCAGGAGTTAATCCCTTCTCAAGAAACCACTTTGGAGAGATTCTGGGTTGGATGGAGGACTAGAAGCTGCCTCGTGTGAAGAAGAATTGTTGATGTGTTAGCACAGGGTTTATGCCAGAGAACGGAGATGAGGGAAGAGCGTCAGAAATCCACAAGAGGCGCTCTATCACAGCTGTGAAGTGCAGAGAACCCGAAGTAGGAGGCATCAACAAGAAGCCCAACACAGCTCAGCCTCCAGGCTCCAAGCAGATGGAGGGGAAGCAGAAGCTTCTTCCAGAAGGTCCTGGTGAAACGCCACTGGCATTTCTACTCGCAGGCCATGTCCACATGCCCACAGCTCTCACAACCCTCAAAACCAGGGGCTTCTCTTGTGGGATGTGTCAGTCATGGGAAGGCGTTTCCCTGGCTCAGAGACTGAGTGAGGCTAGGTGTCATCTCTATAGAGGACATACTGTTTAAAACTGAACTACCCTGGTTTCCTAAGAACAGAGACCTGTCGCAGCGCCAGCCTGAGTGATGGCTGTAGGGTGTGGGAGGGACACATACTGAGGAATCCCAAAGTGCAGGCATCAGGTAACTCCACCATCGATCCCTGGGAGCAGATGTCATCAATATAACTTTGAAGTCAGCAGTTAATCAACTTCTAGAGCCACCTATCTGTTATGAGGTTAACTATCGTAGAGTCTGCGCACTCTGAAACTCCAGCTACCGCTTTTCCAAAGGACCCAGGTTCTCAAGTCAAGTGACTCAAAAACACCGCCTGTAACTCCAGTTCCAGGGGATTTGAATTCTCTGGCTAAGACCACATACACAAATGTGCGTGCACACACACAGAGACAATTAAAACTAAAGGTTTATTTTAATTTAAAATCTTGTGTATATGTGCCTCTTTGTGTGCAGTTCTCACAGAGGCCAGAAGAGGGCATTGGATCCCTGGTCTTCTGCATTAGCATCATGGGCTCTGAGCCATCTCTCCAGCCCTGCTAAAGGGATTTTGAGAATACGAAGATGGTTTTGCCTGTATGGCACTCAGTGCTGTGGATGCTTCCCCTGACTCTGATGAAAGGGACAGAAAGAAACTTCTCAACTTGGAACATTCACCAGTCTAGAGGATTTGAGCTGGCAACCCTTGGGGTGTTGGGAGACTCTCCCAACTCACAGACTGAAAAAGCTAAGGGTGACCAGCAGAGGCCTGTGGTACACAAAGAAGGAACACTACTGACAGGCAGACTGCCCTGGTTGACATCAGGCATTCGTATAGTACAGGCTTCTCAGCACCGGCATAAATCAAGGTTTGTAGTGAGATGTTTACCTCGACTACACCTATAGCGCTGACCACACCCGTTTGGGCATGGTCACAGGTGCTGACGTGACAGGGAGTGCGTTTAGGTCTGGGATCAGGACAGGTTGTCTGTCTCTTGCCTCCAGTAGGGTCACACGGAATAGCCTGAGCAGATCCTTAGAGCAGGAACCTGCGACAACCATCTGCTTCTTGTGTAAGTGACTTCTTCCCGAAATAAATGATATTGAACCTATATTTGAGCCTAGTCCCATGAATCATTATCTGTGCCTCCGCAAAGGCAAATAGCAATCAGAGCCCACAGTTTAACCGGCCCCAGCCCTAGGCACATATTCAACATCATAAGTCCTTAGATAGCTGTGACAACAGTGAGAAGTTACTTTGCATCTCACAATGGTGAATGCTAAAATCGCCAACAGCAGCCAGTGCTGACAGTGATCCTGAGTTAAACAACGGTCTCCTGTCTGGTCAGGGGGAACGTGAATCGACACAGTTTCTCATAAAACCACACAAAATTTGATTAACAACAATTCTCTTTGATAGCTTCTCAAATGAGTTGGAAAGTCATGTCCATATAAAAGCCTCCACAAAAGTATTTTTTAAAGCAATTTTGTTCATAATTGACCAAACTTTGAAGCAACCAGGATGTCCTTCTGTGTGTGAAAGGACAAATTGAGGTTAATAGTTGATTTTTCTTCTATTTTGACTGTAGTCTATCTAGGTCTGGGTTCATTTCTTTTTTGCTTGTGTAGGCTCCGTGGTAAAATAGTGTTGCCAGCCAGGCGGTGGTGTTGCATGCCTTTGGTCCCAGCACTCAGGAGGCAGAGGCAGGTGAATCTCTGTGAGTTGGAGACCAGCCTGGTCTACAAGAGCTAGTCCAGGATAGCCTCCAAAGCCACAGAGAAACCCTGTCTCGAAAAACAAACAAACAAATAGTGTTGCTAGATGGTTACTAGACACATGGTTGCTGAGTTCACCTTGAGTTCCAGGTGAAGGGTGTGTAATGAAGGCCTGCTATCCTGTCTGTCACCAGAGTATCTCCGAATGCTGAAGGACCGTCAGTTCATTTATTTAGCTCAGCTATGTCATAGTTTTCTATTTCTACTAGACTTTGCCATGTTCTATTTTGTCTTTATGATGCTGTTTTGACACACAGCATTGTTAATCATAGTCTGATATTCTTATTAAGTGTCACACAAGCACCTTGAAAGTAGGGGCAATATCTTAATCGCCACAACAGGGGAGGGGCAAGATTTTCAAATATATTATGGATTAATAGATATTTATCAAATTGGACTAAACTACACTTTACAGGTTTGGTCAGGCTATCTGGTTATCTGAGCATTTCTTATCTCCAAATTACTTTTTTTCTGGTAGTCCCAAGAATTTTGCATGCACCCTTTCCAAAATGCCATTATCTTCATCCTTCTAAGCCTACTATGGAGAGTGTAGGGTTTCTTCTTTTTTTTCTTTTTTTGCTGAAGGATTTATAAAAGCAACTGGAGACAGAGTATATTTTCATACAATTTTCCTGTTCTTTTAAAAGCTGTATCACCCTCCAAAATATAAACGAAAACTTCAGTTTTCCTATTGTATGAACTTTTGTATCTTACACTAAAACATAACCATGGATATATTAGCCTTCCAATGGAAAGACAACATCCTAGTAACATGGTCTAGGGATCTCCAAGGAGACTGCTTTAAAACATGACACTCTACCTGTCGTTGAGATTGGCCAGCATGAAAGTTTCGGGAAATGAAAACACACTGAGAATGAGATTTAATCTTCGATTTGGATGATCCTTGCACCAGCTTTTCATCAATTGATTTAACTTTGGAACTTTGAAATATTTCTCTGGAAAACATTGTACAGAAATTATTATTAAACAGGAATCAAATTATATGATTTGAGATCATTGTCTCTAACCTAGGAGTTTAAAATTAGTATGTTGCAGATTTTTGAAAGTAGCAATCAGTTTATATACTCCTTTAACATAGATATGATTTCATTATGTCTACTTTTCAGAAAATGTAGTTAATTATAGAAAGCTAGCATTTGCAGTTTGAATATTATTGAGTTACTTTATGCTTCTTTGGTTATGAGATAATCAACTTCATTGTTAATTAGTCTTTTCTTTTTCTTCTTTTCTTTTTTTGTTGTTTTTTAAGACAGGATTTCTCTGTGTAGCCCTGGCTGTCCTGGAACTGAAGATCAGGCCAGTCTCAAACTCAGAGATTTACCTGCCTCTGCTTCCCAAGTGCTGGGATTAGCCACATGGTTTAATTAGTCTTTTCATCAATCTGTTTTTAATGAAATAAAATGAAATCAGCGGTCACTTTCGGCAAAGAGGACAGAAACTGGGTTGAGAATAATGGCACTCTGGGAGAGCACTTGTGATCTTCTGTTGTCCTCGAAGTCACAAGCAGGTGGGGGAGGGTTAAAAGCAACAGGATGCTGCTAAGTGAAACCTCAGCTGATCAGAAAGAAGTCTCCTGGATAAAGTTAAATATTTGTGAGGGCTATTCTTGGTTGACTACAACTTGACTACCTCTAGAATTAATGAAAACCCAAGCAACTGGGTACACCAGTGAGTGATTTGTCGTGACTGACTCATTTGAAGTAAGAAATTACATCCTAAATCCATTATCTTTTGAATTGGGAAGATCCACCATAAATCTGGGCCACACTTTCTCCTGGTCCTCACTATCGCTTGCAAGCTCATTCTTTTGCTGGTGATAGGACCCACTTCTTTGGGATTCTGATACATCCTTAGAAGCAGTTGAGGCATCGAGCCTCATGGACTGAACAGCTACTGGATTCTTAGACTTTCCTTTGGGAGACAGCCATTGTTGGAATAGTCAGACCATAACATGTGAGCCACTCTAATAAATCCCATTATATGTGTGTGTGTGTGTGTGTATTCATTCTATCAGTTCTGTTTCTCTTGAGAAGCCTAATATCAATATTTTAAGAAATGATGCCAGACAGTGGAATATTATTCAGTGATACAAAGAAATGAGCTGTTAAGTCACAAAAGAGACATGGAGGAAAACTGGATATAGTGACTCACACCTGTAATACAGAACCTGAGAGGCAGAGGCAGGAGGATTGTTGTGAGGTTAAGGTCAACCTCTGCCACCCAGTGAGTTTTAGGCTAGTTAGGCTACATAGTTAAGCCCTGTCTGAGGAAAAAGTCTAAGAAGGCTACATTTTGTATGGTTTGACATCTGATTTCAAGTCTATGACTTCACTCTGGAAAAGGCTAAACTACTGGGATCTAGAAATATCAGTGGTTGCCTGGGGTTAGGGAGAGGGAGGGATGGATCGATGAAGCACAGAGGAATTTTAGGGTGATGACAATACTGTGGCTTGTATGCAAAAGTCATTATGTATTTGTGAAAACCATGGAATGTACATGAAGAGTGAATTTTAATGTCAAATGAATGCTAACATGTTGACATAAGTTCTTCAGTTTTAACTCTCCCCAAACAGTAATAATGGTGGCCAACTATTTTTCCAGAGGTACTAGAAAATTTCCAAGTTAATTCAAGAGATCACATTAGATTCCTCCACAAGATATGAACAATTAATATCCAGTCTCTCCCTGAATTCAGTTCACTAAACAAATATTTAACCTATATGTCAGAAATGTTGGGTGTTGAGGGCATCTAAAATGTGGCCCACAAACTTGTGCTTTGATGGCCCTGTTTGGGGGAGGCTGTGGGAGCACTAGGGGGTGGAGCGTGACCGCTTTCTCCTTTCTGGTCCACAGTGCTGTGAAGGGCCTCTGCCACACACTCCGGCATCTGTGAATGTGGCCATGCCTTTCTCACTGTGACAGACTGCAATCTCCTGAAACCAAAATCCAGCGTAAGTCTTTCCTCCCTTAAGTTATTGTGTCAAGTATTTTGGCCACTGTGATACAAAAGCACTTAATAAAATTCTATGCTCCTCCAACTACTGTCCCTTTATTAGTATTCTAAATACACACACACACACACACACACCTCTTGAAAGAGACATGCATACTTTTCTCAATTTTTTCACATCTCATTGTCTCCAAGAATTAACTTCTTTTTTTTGTTTGTTTTTGAGACAGGGTTTCTCTGTAGCTTTGGAGGTTGTCCTGGAACTCACTCTGTAGACCAGGCTGGCCTCGAACTCACAGAGATCCACCTGCCTCCCAAGTGTTGGGATTAAAGGTGTGAGCCGCCAGCGCCTGGCAGATCAACTTCTTAACCTATCATTGCACCAACATTTCATCAAGGTTACCAATGACCTCCATCTCCTGAAATCAAAAGGTTACTTTTCTTTCCTCATTGCCCTCAACTTCAGGACTTCAGTATAACTGGCTTAAGCCTCCTTGTAACATATTTAAATTTCTACTTCCTTGACTATCCATCTTTTGGTTTCTTCTCAGATGGTGATTTTCTCTACTTAGCTGCTAACTTTCCAAATGCAGGTAGTGTGAAGGGCATAGCCGTAGATCATTTTCCTCCCTCCCTTCCTCCCTCTCTTTCTTTCCTTCTTTCTTTTTCATGACAGGGTTTCTCTGTGTAACTGTCTTGGTTATCCTGGAACTCACTATGTAGACCAGGTTGACCTTGAACTCACAGAGCTCTGCCTGCCTCTGTCTCCTGAGTGCTGGGATTAAAGGGGTGGGCCATGGTCCAGTTGCCCTAAGTCATTTTTCAACACCCACTCCCTGGTTAGTCTCATCTGACTTTAAATCCTCTATACCTAATCTTTCACTCTGGCTTCTAAGTTTATACCAGCACATCCAACTGTAACATGGCATTCCCATTTTGGACTTTAAATAGGCTTTTAAACTCACTAGTTTATCATCTCCCCCACAAATCGATCCCCTTTATGATAATTTTCCCATCTCAGAAAATGGCATGACCACTCAGCTGCCCAATCCCGGGTGTCAGTCTTCATGCTGCACCTCACTCTTCTTTCCCTACTTCAGTCTATCAAATCCCACCTCTACCTGCCAAAGATGTTTCAGGCCCAGTCCCTTCTTTTTGTCTCATCTGGTCACGTTAGTTCAAAACATCCTCACCTCTCTCTCAGACGAAAGCTAGGCTGCTCACTTGCTTGTCTACTTTCTTGTTGCGCCATTAAACTCCAGGCTTTACAGAGGAATGTCTTTTGAAAATATAAGCCAGAAAACTGTCATATCTTGATATTAGGAGTGCACATTCACTTTTAATTAGCAGTTTCTCAAAAAGCAATCATGTGCTGAGCGTTGTTGACACACACCTTTAATCCCGGTGCTTGGGAGGCAGAGGCAGATAGTTCATGGCCAGCCTGGTCTACATGTGCCATTATGTGCTAGGCCATCTTAATGGTCCTAGGAAAATTTTGCACAAGGCATATTTAATAAGTCTTATTTTCCTAACTCAAGTCTCAGATTAAACACAAACTCCTTGTACAGGCCTTTCTGGTACACTTTTTATATTTGCTCATTTATCTGTTTCCTGTCAAGTCTAGGAAATGAGAACTTTTTCTGCTTTGTTCACAGTTGTATCCTCAATTCCAACAACAATGGAAGGTAGCTAACAAATATTTTCCTTTATTACTTATGTTTTATTGTGCATTCATTGAATATTTGTTGAAACAATGAACAAATGAATACTTTCTGATTTGTACACGGTGGAGAGACAGTTGGAGGAATGATCACTGGGAGAAAATGTGGGAAAGGGATCTTACAATTTATATTTTAAACATACCAGAATACAAATTCTGAGTTGGCTAAATAAGTAGAAACAAAATTTTAGAGTTGCAAAGGAAGAAGGTGTTAACTACGCTTTTGTGTGTTTCTGAAGGGAGAGGATTTTCAGATCTATCAGGCCATTCTGTGTGTTCTCTTAACTTCTAAAGAAAGGGGGTCTTGCCCTTCAGTTATGTCTTAACCTCCAAACTAGAAGATTTCCCCCATAGTTTCTAGCTTTAGATTAGAATCAGACCCATGTCTTCCAGTAAGTAAAATAGGACTTGTTTTTCTTCAGAATTCCAGTGCACAAAGATCTCTGTTGCATGGTCCTAGTCCTTCTTGTATCTAAGGCATATAAAGCCTTGTCCCACCACAGGATCTCCAGCCAATTCCATCATATTTATTTATTCATTTTGGGTTTTTTGAGACAGGGTTTCTCTGTATTGTTTTGGAGGCTGTCCTGGAACTCACTCTGTAGACCAGGCTAGCCTCGAACTCACAGAGATCCACCTGCCTCTGCCTCCCGAGTGCTGGGATTAAAGGCATGTGCCACCAACGCCCGGTTTCCATCATAGTTATTTAGATTTAATAGCTGTGAAAAAAAACCCTTCATTAAACTTTTAACAACAACAAAACTTAGACACTTTCCAATAAACCTTACCTTCGTTTGCAAATCAGGAACCACAAAGCAGATGCCAAAGCAAAGAAACCAATTCCCAGACTAACGGCACCAGCAGCCAGAAAATAGGTTAGGTGGTTAATAAAACCTATACAAATAAATGGTAAAAGATCATGTCATGCATGACTCAGTTCACTAGGTAAAGAAATGAGGTGATATTTACAATGATATATGTGATATTAAGACTGACCAAGAAATCAGGGAGCCTGAATTCTAGTCCTATACAATCCAAACAAATGGGAGGACCCAGAGCTAGGGAACAACACATAAATAGAACTGGGAAAGCCCGCCAGGAATCTCACTTCAGAGGTGGCAGAATTGAAGCCCATGTGACAGAACTGAACGAAAGCGATACAGCAATTCACACCAATGTTCTGATTTTTTCTATATCCTTTGCTAGCAAATATTTCCCAGTACCCCGATCTGGCAGCTCCCAACTGTCCATAACTCCAGCTCCAAAGGATCCCAAGCACCTGACCCCCACAGATATCTATATTCACCTGCATATATTCACCTACAGAAGCACACATCTAGATTGGAAACTAAAATTAAACCTTTAAAAATATTATTATTATTATTTTTCTAGGGCTGGGCATGGTGGTACACTCCTTTAATCCCAGAACTCAGGAAGCAGAAGCAGGGCAATCTCGTGAGTTTGAGGCCAGCCTTGTTTACATAGTGAGGTCCAGGATAGCAAGGGTTATGTAGAGAGACCCTGCCTCAATAAAATAAAATTAAATTAAAAATTTTAATTTTGGGCTGGAGCGATTGCTCAGAGGTTAAGAGCACTGACTGCTCTTCCAGAGGTCCTGACTTCAATTCCCAGCAACCACATGATGGCTCACAAGAATCCACAGTGAGATCTGGTGCCCTCTTCTGGCATTCAGGGATACATGCAGGCAGAATACTGTATACATAATAAGTAAATATTAAAAATTTAATGTTTATATGTATTTATTTAGTGTTTTGGTGGTAGGTTTTTCAAATAATAAATTAAAATATTATGATTAAAATTAAAAATTCATAAGGAAATAGTTTAAATTTGCTGAAAATTAAAATAACACCAGAAACTTAAAAAAGAGAAAAAATGGTTAATGGCCAATAGTCATGTAAAAACTAATTATAAATGTACTATCCATTAAACCAAAAATAAAATGTTATGAAGACTATACCTAATGCGAAATGTGGAAAATGAAAAAGACAAAATATAAACTGTTGACAAGGAAGCAGGAATCTGAAACCTCATTCACAGCTGGAGGGAATATGATTGGGGAAAAGCTCTGGGAAACTGGCTCCAGTAATAAGCTGAATAGAGGCATACTCTACAACTCAGCAAATTGACCAATGGGCACATACATAAGTTCACGTGTGAATCAGAGGCTAAGAGAAAATAATTCAGTTCTAAGCTGATTTTGCTAGGAAGACAATAAAACCAGGAGCTTTTACTTGAAATAAGATGGGGATAAAAAGAAAGTAGCAGAAAACCCAAGGGAACACAATTCATTACACTGAGTCAGCAGATACAAATTTCCCCCAAAGAAACTGGTGGTCCCCAAAAGGTTACAATTTCTACTGTATACCCATGATGCTAGCATTTCTTATCTTATACAAGTTCTTCCAGAGAACAGAAAGACATTGCTGGCTGTTCCTCCAAATACATTTTCTTCTTTGTGGGCAAAACGCTAGACTGTCTCAGCTTCCCATACCATTAGGTGAAGCAATGTGACAGAGCAATGGAATCTGAGGGCAATGATGTCATAAAAACCTCTACAACTCTTTCTTCCTGACTGTGGGTGACAGAGGTGATCCCCAAGGGAACTGCGGAAGTCACAGGTTGATAGCTCCTTCATCAGTCTACTAGATCTGATCGACATCATAGGAAATCAGCCTCACAAGATCTCATGTTATTTACAGAAGTGTGTTCTGTATTCTCCAGTATAGAATACAGAGAAACAGATGAAAACCAGTGAAACTTGGAAATGACACATTCTGAAACAACCAATGAGCAACAAGAAATCTTAAGGAGACACATAAGATATTTTTAATGAGTATAATGAAAATATGATTTCAAGCCAGGTAGTGGTGGTGTATGCCTTTAATCCCAGCACTCAGGAGGCAGAGGCATGTGGGTCTCTCTGAATTTGAGGCCAGCCTGGTCTACAAAGAGTATTCCAGAACAGCCAAGGATGATACACAGAGAAACCTGGTCTTCAAAAACAACAACAAAGTATCATTGCATTAGTATATTTCTTTTTTTAAAAAATAGAACTAGAGTCCATAGTTAAATGGCTCATGTGAGAGAAACTCTAAAAATAAACCAGTATTTCTCCTGTGACTTCTGCTTTGCTTGTTTTGTTTTGTTTGTTTTTTCTTCCTTTTTCTATTCAAGATAGAGTTTTTCTGTGTAGACCAGGCTGGCCTTGAAAACAGAGATATGCCTGCTTCTGTTTCCAGAATGCTGGCATTGAAGTTGTGCACCATCACTGCCTGACTTTCTTTTTTTAAAGATTTATTTATTTATTATGAATACAACATCCTGCCTCCATGTATGTCTGCACATACCAGAAGAGGGCGCCAGATCTCATTACAGATGGTTGTGAGCCACCATGTGGTTGCTGGGAATTGAACTCAGGACCTCTGGAAGAACAGTCAGTGCTCTTAACCTCTGAGTCATCTCTCCAGCCCCAACTGCCTGACTCTCTTATCTGTTTTTTTGAATGAATAAACTCAAATGAATTACATAGTCACCCAGTGAGCTCCTTCTGCTATTCTCTGAATATTGTAAACTTTCTCTTTTGTGATAAAGTCTCAATGCCATCTACTATTTCTAGCTTCAGAACTTTTATATGCTCTCAAATTGTGTGTATTTCACATCTGAAAACAGTATCAATCTTTTCTTTTTAAAGATAGTGTCTTATTAGCCGGGCATTGGTGGCACATGCCTTTAACTCCAGCACTCCAGACACAGAGGCAAGCGAATCTCTGTGAGGCCAGCCTGGTGTACAGAGCGAATTCCAGGACAACCTCCAAAGTAATACAGAGAAACCCTGTCTCGAAAAACAAAAACAAAACAACAAAGATAGTGTCTTACTGTGAAACTCTAGTTGGTTTGGACCTCACTATGTAGGCCAGGCTGGATTTGAAATCATAGAGATCCAGAGTGCTAGGACCAACAGTATGTGCCATCATTCCTGGTTAGAAATATTTTTAAATGATTTTTTAAAATTATGTGAATATGGTGTTGGGCTGGAATTTACATCTGTGTACCCTGTGTGTGCAGGCGCCTACAAGTCAGAAGAGGGTATCAGATTCCCCTAGAGCTGGATGGAGTTACTGGTGGCTTTGGACCACAGGGTATGGATGCTGGGAACCAAATCCAGGTCCTCTTGCAAGAGCAGCAAGTGCTCTCATCTCTCCAGCCCCCCAATTCTATAAATCTTATAGTTACATTGACTAGGTAAAAACTTACCCTCATATTATACAAAGAGATATCTGAACATTCCCTCTTAAAATGATTCTTCAATAACTTGGGACAACTGCATTTTTATTGAGAGTGCATTTTTCCAGTTCACCAAATTGTTCCTCAATAAAGTTCTTCATGAGGAATGAGAAAAAATTTTTGAACAAGAAGAATGTGTTGTCTGGACATGATGGTGCAGGGCTTTAGTCTCAGCAGTTGGGAGGCAGATGTAGTCAGAACTCTGAGTTCAAGGCCAGCCTTGTCTACATAGTAAGTTCCAGGTGAGCCAGGGCTAAACAGTGAGAAGGAAGAGTGGAGGCTGACATGTTTCCTTCCATATTTTGTCTTGTAGGAGGGTGAGAGTTAAGTTTTACTTTAAGCATATTTATTATGTAGATTTTTCTATTTTACAAATTATTCTGCCAATTTTTCTTCTTGACTTCTTACTGTAGTTTAAAATGACTTTCTTGTTTAAGTTTGGTTGCATTCCAGACATAAAGACTATCAGTGACTACGGAGATGGCTCAGTCAGTAAAGTGATCACTACATGCAGCAGGAGGACCTGGGTTTGGACCCCAGCATCCGTATAAAAAGCAGTTCAGCAGCATACATGTATACATGTAGTTCCAGCACTGTGGTGTCACAGACAAGGGCTCCCTGGGGCTTGCTGGCCAGCCAGATTTAGTGAGAGACCCTACCTCAAAAATTAAGGTGAGCAGTAATTGAGGAGGACACTTCACATCAACATCTGACATCCACGTGCACACACATACACATGTGCACACACACCTGTACTTACATATGCACACAAAGGAATATGTATGCACTCATACAACCCTGCAAAGAATATCACATGCATTAAAGACAATGCTCTCTCTGGCTTTACCATCATAAACCAGAATGAAGAGCTTAATATTTATTATGACCAAATCAATATTTCTAGTTACAGAAAGTACTTTCCATCTCCCAAATGGACAATGTAAATAGCTTCCCTCTTTAGATCTATGATTTCGGTTTTAAGCTGTGCAGCCAATTCATCCTAAGGCATTGGTCCGGACATGACATTACATTTCAGTACAAGCAAGTCTTATAATAGATGCCAAGAAAAAACAATAACTCTTTGCCATAAAATGAAAATCCCGACAAAGACAACATATTCCATATTCAATAACTGCAATAAACAAAAACTACAAAAAGAAATTCCTCTGGTCAAAAGAAAATGTAGCATCATTGAACGCCCCCAGAGACTCATTTCTTCCCCCCTAGAAGCCAGTCAAATATTAGAGGAAACATTCTGAGCTTCACTCTGGTTCTGCATCTTGACATCTACCTTGGGGGAGATGCTTGGAGCTGATGAGTTAAAAGAATTAAATCTTGAAAGAGCTATTAAATATTTGTTATTAATCCTGTGAGAATAAAACCCAACCTTAATTCTCAAAATAGAACAGCCACTTTATTACCTGTGTATGTTCCATATAAAATATACCAAGTTCCTTTGAGAAATAAGTGACTTTGCATCTTTGCCATATCCTTGTCGTAAACTGAAGGCTATCTGACCCTTTGAAGTCAATGTGGGCAAGTGAGATCTGCAATATTAACTACACAATAAGCAAATATTACAAGTGGTAAGTGACCCTCCAGAGAGTGTGACAGCAGATTTCTCTTTCTAAAGAAATGCCTCTGGAGGTGGGGAGAAGATAGTAGATTAGAGATGCCCAGAGCTTCCTATGCCTCCAGAAATCTGAAATAAAATCTCATGTACGTGACTGCAGTGAGTGAGGTGTGGATGGCGTGGTAAATAGCAGACAGAGACAGGTAAAGTCCAAAAACATTGGCCCTCGAAGCACTAAGTAAAATGGCAGCAAGTGGGGAAGTGAAAGGGGGGAAGACAAAGCTCCCTAGGCTCCATGGGGACACAAGCTGGCAGCTCTGCAGAAATGCAGGTCAAGAAGGGGCAGCTACCCCGCACAGGAATCAGTGGAAGGGGAGGCCCTGCATCTCCTAGCTTGCCTTACTACTGCGGTGGAAGGGACTCATTCTAGGAGAGGTCTTACATTTGTAGCTTTCATTCAAGGAAATCAGAAACCAACAGCTCCTCCAATCCCAGCTAAATGAGTGACCACTCAGTCTGGACGCACTACTACTGTGATTTACTCACACTCAGACTGCTCTACTTGGGTTGAAAATGTGAGTCTTTCTCAAGAGGGAATCTGGGAGTGATTATGTCAGGGCAACTTTTGTTAACTTCTGGTAAAAGAAGAGATAATAGCTGGGCATACTGCTTGGGGCTAGGGCACTCAGGGTTACTCTTGACCCTCTGACACAGATGGCTTTACTATTTTGTATATTCTCAGAGGGCCAAGAGACTTGGTGGAAAGTCGCTGCTGCTCTGGGATTTCTGGGGCCAAGCACATTGTGTCTGGTGGCAGGGGGCATCCCAGAGAGGGCCGAGTAATGTGATCCTTAGTGGAGTGGAGCTGCAGTATGTCCTGTTTTGGGCAGGTCTGCACACAGAAAAACACTCATAGGAATTCAGCCCAGTGGCATGACACTCCAGAAGGGCAGGGCTTCACCTGCAAATGCTCCTTAGTGGTGTAATCCATTTAGGTATCAGGGAGAAAACAGCTGCCCCCACCTCCAGTAAAGTGCTTAAGGACAAGCCTGGGGTGGGGGTGGGGACAAAACATTCCATCTCCCCTTTCTACCTGCAAAGAAGAAGTAATGACTTTTGTGTTTTCTATCTAATTTTTTCTCATTTCTACCATTACCCCATATGCTCATCTCCTTATCTTTGTATTATATCCATTTGTTTTACTTAAAAATTATTTTTAGATTTATAATATATATGAGTGTTGTGCATGCATATATATATGTGTGTGTACCATGTCCATGTTTGGTGCCAGGGAAAGTCCTAGGAGGGTTTCAAATCCCCTGGGATTGAAGTAACAGAAGGTTTTGAGCTGCCATATGGGTGCTGGGAATCAAACTCGGCTCTTCCCCTAGAACAACAAGTGCTCTTAACATCTGTGCCAATTCTCCAGCACTACATTAATTTATTTTATCTCTGAAGGGTAAGGGAAGGATTTAGGCACATGTCATCACGTAGGTTTGGAGGTCAGGAGACAGCTTGCAGAAGTCTGTAGGGTTTTTTTTTATTACTTTTTACTCTTTGGGGGACTGCCACCCAGCTCCTCCAAAGATACACAGAGACTTATTCTTTCTTATGAGTGCCCAGTCTTAGCTTGGCTTATTTCTAGCCAGCTTT